CCTTTCTCTTGCTTTCTTATCCCTCACTTCCTCCTCCCCCTCCCGCCTCAACTAGGAAACATATTGCCACTGGCCAGTAGAAAGCTACATCTCCAAAACTCAGGACCTCCGGGGTCCAGAACCAATTCTTCTCTTCTTAAAGGGAGAGATGCCTTTGACGGGGCCGCTCTCTCACTGTGGACTGTCAGGCGGGCAGCGGTTTGTCCTGCCGCTTGATCTCTACCCCTTTCCCTTGGAGGACCATGAGCGTCGGGAGCCGGGACCCCCAGGCCTCGCGCAGTCCCGGGCTCGGGCCTCGATCGCCTTCCGTCCGTCTGCCCGGTCTGTGCAGAGACGCTGCCAGCCGGGCCACCACGAGGCCTGCTCCGGGCTTCGCGAGGTGAGCGCGCTGCACGCGGGTCTCTGTCCGCGTCTAGAAGTGAGGGGCCCCTCATCTCTCCTTATTTTCTTTTTCGCAGCTCTGGGAATTGAGCCGAGGGCCTTCATGCTGAGCTCTATCCCCAACGCTTTTTCAATTTTTTTTTGGTGGTGTTGTCTTTTTTGAGACAGGGTCTCGCTATGCAGTTCAGACTGGCCTTGAGCTCACTTTGTAGCCCAGGCTGGTCTCGAACTCACAACGTCCTCCTGCCTCAGCCTCCCGAGTGCTGGGATTACAGGTGAGCACCACCACGCCCGGCGCTTTTTCAATTTTTAGTTTTGAGACAGGGTCTTATGAGGCGGCTAAGCTGCCCAGGCTGGGCTTGAACTTGCCATCCTCCTGCCCCAGGCTGGGTGCTGTGCCACCTCAGCTGGTTCTGCTACTGTGTGAGTTTCAGTAAGTGCGCTCGGGAGTTCAAACAGCTGGCAGTGAGATGCAGTACGAGGAGCACAAACAGAGTGATGTCTGCCCCTCACCGGCCTTCATTCACACCCACAGAAGTCAAAGTAAATCTGTGTGAGATAATCCCAGCACTCAGAAGGCTGAGGCAGGAGGATCGTTGCAAATTCAAGACCAGCCTGGGCTACAAAGTGAGCTCAAGGCCGGCCTGAACTGCATCCTGAGACCCTGTCTCAAAAAGACAGACTCAGCAGGTACCAGGTCCTGGTTTTCAGAGACAGCACCACCAGGAAAAGAAAAGTTTAAGAACTGAATTCAAGCTGGGTGTGGTGGCACACGCCTGTAATCCCAGCACTCAGGAGACTGAGGCAGGACAACCACTGTGAGTTTGAGTCCAGCTTGGGCGACATAATGAGTTCAAAGCCAGCCTGAATTGCATAGCGAGACCTTGTCTCAAAAAAAAAGTGGGGGCTGGGGGTTTAGCTCAGCGGCACAGCACCTGCCTGCCAAGCGCAAGGTCGTGAGTTTGATTCCTGGTACTGGAAAAACAAAACAAAACAAAAAAAAAAGCAAGCAAGCAAACAAACAAAAAAAAATAGTGTCCAAGAACTGAATTTAGCCAGGCACAATGGAATATGCTTGTAATCCTAGCACAGAGGGAGGCTGAGGCAGGAGGATTAGAAGTTTGGTCCCACCTGGGCAGCTTAGTGAGACCCTGTCTCTAAATAAAAAATAAAAATGGCTGGGGATGTAACTCCCACAGTAGAGGGCCCTGGGTTTAATCTCAAATAATGGGGAAAAAGAGCCTAATAGTCTCAGCTTTGTTCTGGGGAAATTTAACATTAAAAAACAGAAGCTAAGAAAGAGTAGAAGGGCTGGAGATTTAGGTCAGTGGCACAGCGTCTGCCTGGTAAGGTCGTGAGTTCGATTCCCGGTACCAGAAAAAAAGCAAAAAAAAAAGAGTAGAGTGAAACAGTTACAAATTCCTCGTGCATAGGCCTCCAATTGGTGCAGCACATGATACATTATACATCATATGCATTTTCATCAATTACTACAACCCAGTGAGATAAATATTTTTTTTGCATCAGGCATCAAACTCAGGTCCTTGTGCTTCCCAGACAGGAGCTTGTGCCGCTGAGCTGTATCCCCAGCCTTAAGGGATAAACATTTGGATGTTGTCTCTTAGGTAATAAATACTCAAGGTCAACAGCAATGAAAATCCCAGAGCTGATCTTCAGACCTAACTCTGTCTGTTCTTTTATTTTTGTTTTTCTTTTCTTTT